TTTGTGTTTGTATGTCTTATTATGTTAGTTTGGTATAATGTAAGATGTAACAGTGAATAATTATATGTAAGTCAGTTAATGGAAAAAATAATATTAAGTTCTATTATCATTTTAATGACACTCCATATGAAAAACTGAAAAAAAACAAGAAAAATATAAATAAATACTTGATGTAGGTTTCTAGTTGTTTCCTCAGCCGTTTATTATCTTTTTTCATGCTGTCTGTTTCTGAAGCTTGTTTCCTAACATGATTAAGCCGCTGTTGCATTATATCCCTAATGTGCGAATAATGTAATATTTCTTTTCTCAGGCTTTCATCTTTTTTTTCTATGGCTTCAGATTTTTCTGAATAATGCTTGGCATCTTTCTCTTTCCGAGTTAGTTCTAGACTTAGTATATCAACTTTATCTTGTAAAGAATGTATTTCATCTGTAATACGATCATTATTACAGAAATTGAAATATAATCTGTGTATTTTATGTGATGCGGTCCTCTTTGTACATTGTGGGCAAGTTGGAAATCTGTATAGGAAATTAAAATCAATTAAAATAAAAATGTGACTTTATAAATTTAATAATAATCTTTCACATATGAAAATGTATATAATTAATGAAAGTAAGATAAAGTATATCCATTATCCATTATCCAGTATGAAGAAAAGGAAAAAGCTAGATGATAATTATTATTATCAAATATACTTTCTTCTTTTTCCGATATTCTTGCGTTTCTACTTATTTTTGCAACACATAAATTTATATGTAACTTTGTATCTCTTCCTTTGTAATATATAGGGCATCCATATTTATATGGTACCTAAGACATAATGTACTGAGTAAGAAGGTCGTTTTTTATCGTTTCTAATATAATCATTTCTACATGATGAACCATGGAATGTGGTCAGCTTAATTTATTCTGTTTTTTAAATGACAACAAAGAAATGTACTTACTTTCGTAACCACTGAGACAAACATACGAAATGAAATACATGTCCACAAGATGTATGAGATATATCGTCAGTTTCTGTTAACAAATCACTGCATACAGCACAAGCAATATTCATTTTATAGAAAAATAAGTAGAAATTTTTAAATAGAAATAATTTAATTTAATGATTTGTGATTAAATTTTAATACAATAAATCTCGAATCGCGGAGTTCATATACAGCGCTCACAATGTAGTTTAACCTCTTAACTTAAAGGTGCGTGTCTATCTGAGAGTGAAATTAGTAAAATCTCCCTATCTGTCGCCGGGACCGAGAGTAGTACGCAGGAATTGATATCTTTGAGCCTCGCGGCTCGCCTTTATTGTTGCCGACACCTCGTGAGAGGCAGAGAAATAGGACGAAAATCGAGTTGAACGAAACTACATATAAATAAATTGCTCCAAGTTGCTCTGGAAATCCAATAGGAAACGGTTTTGTATTTTGAGAGTAGATCTGTGCAGCTCTGTACAATCTGCGAGTAGTGTTTATATCGTAGCGGTACAAAATATGTATTAATATG